TACACCATTCGCAAAAATACCACTGAAAAGGTCTGCTATAGTTTGAGAGTCGTATATAAAAGTGCTATTATGCTGGATGCATGGTATATCAACATTTTGGGTTGCTTTAGCGCGTTTATTGAAAAGGAGAGTTAAGTTTTGTACCTTTGAGTTAGTATTAAGTGCTAGTATCTCCTCATTAATGGCTTTTAACCTATGTTTTCTTTAATTTGATTAAAAATTATTGTTATTTGTGCAACTGCTGTGAAGTCGTTTGACTTAACATAACGATTCTGTAGGCGTCTTAGTTTATTACGATATTTAGCTGGTATATATAATTCGTAAGGTTTACTAAAACTGTACGTTTTAAGAGGTACACAGGAATCTAAACAAGAGTTAACGATCAGATAGAATTCGTCGATAGCATCCATGAGACTATTACATGAAAAATTATCCCAGTCTGAAAGTTTAATCAGTGAATGCAGGAGGTCCCAGTCAGCATGCTTATAGTCTCTATATTGACAGGTTTTTTGAATGGGTCGGTTATAAGAAGGATAGATAGGGAGAGCGCAAACTACTATCTTATGGTCACTGCTTTCAAATTCATCGTATACTTCTACAGATAGTGGGATAACATCTCTACTAAATATTAGATCGAGTATACTATCGCCTCTAGTTGGGGTACGAACCCACTGTGACCAGCAGTGCATGTTAATGGTTGCCGAGAACTCATCACTACATGACTGACAACTACCGGTACTCCAGTTAATCCCAGGATAATTGAAATCCCCAGTGATAACCTTAGCATTAAAGTTTAGAGCAGATGCATGTATGAATGCATTGATAATAAGATCATTCCCATTATTGAAACTATCAGGAGCTCTGTATATACATCCAAGGAGTAGACTATGATTCAGGGTGTTGACTGATATCCAGACTGATTCTGGTAAACTATTCAGGACACTATCTTCAACTTTATTAGTTGTTAGGGTATCCAAAGCATATATAATACAACCACCTCCTCGCTTAGTTTCTCTGTCACAGCGATAGAGTCGATAGTTCTGGATATTTAATTCTGAATCAGATACTGCTTGAGAGCACCATGTTTCAGTGATAAGTATGAAAGAAGGCTTGGCTAGAAAAGCTAATGTTCTCAAGGCTGAAATTTTGTTCAGAAGTGAACGTGCATTGATAAGTAATAAGTTTAAAAAGGAAGTATGGAGTGTAAAAAAACCGAGAGCTTCCCTATTGATGTTGTGTATTTTGGATTTGCATAGACTGTGGTTTGTTATGTTTGACTGATCATATGGGCTATCGCTTGAACAAACTGTATTGCTAGTGGGACCAGGGCCGAAAAAATCATTATTTTGATAAAATGGATTAATTGATTGAACTTGACTAGGCGAACAGTTAAGACAAGCACCTGCTAGTTGGGGTTGGTTTGATGTTGAGTAACCCAGTAATCCATCTTGCCCAAGGGGAAAGTGTTGAGAAACGTTACGTTTTGCAGGTTTATTATTTAAAAGTTTGAGGGTAACCGTGGGGCACGTTGGTTCATTGTGGTCTGTCCAATATTAGGCCTGCTTACATAATGATTGCAGTGGTCGCTTACGAGACATTTGAATCAAGTCTGCCCTTATAACCTCCCCTACAATGCGTAGGGTAAAGCATGGTGTCGGGAAGTATAGTCTTATTTTTATTTGGTAGGGCTATCGTAATATTTTTGTTATTGAGTCTAGAACCAGAAGGTTCTGTACGTATGTTCTTTTTACGTGGCATAGACTTTTAATCTTGACATTGTTTTTAAGAGCTGTCGCGTTAGAACTAAGTATTTGCTTATGGGCTTCTAATGCTAAACTGGATAATATCGGGTTAGTGTCGTCGTTAGATGTACATTGGTTATCATTACAGGCATAATAGGCAAATTAACACTCTTTGTTGGTAAATCAGAGTATTTAAGAACATGAGATAGGGTGGCTGCATCAGGGGATCCAGCAGCTGATGCACCTTTATTTTCGTTCAAGGTACGTTTTTGCGTAAGTCTTTGATTGGTTGTCTTATCTGAGACTATACGAGCGTTTCTAAACTTCGTAAGCTCGCAGATTAGCCGCTCGAATTCTTTTAACTGTTCAGCTAATATATGAGAATCGATTCTGAACAAGACCGGGCACGAGTATTTCTAGTGCTTTTTATTAAGTCGAATGCATTGACATGGACTGTCTTGAAGGTTAGATGCTTTTAATATCGAATTCCTTACAGTTTTAATGGGGATTCTGTCAGGTATATTATAGACAATCACGTTATTACGAGAGACTATTCGCTTGCTAACTTCATTAGCGATAAAATCGATAACAGATTCTGCTTTTATAATGTCATCAAGTTCCCCAGGAACGATATCTTTTGACAAAAGCAGTTTAAGGGCTGATAGTGTCTTTATTTCTTGTTTCAGATCATCATGCTTTGATGAAGAGCTAGCAAGTGACTCAACTTTAGAACACATGTCGTTTAGTTGCTTAAATGCAGTGTTTAATTCACTCTTAATATTATCGATACTTTTTGATCTTGAGGTGGAACTCATAATTAAATTAGAGACAGAGTCATCCAGCAGCAGGTGTGGTGTAAGACCACTCCCAACATTATCAGCTTCAAAAGGAGTAGCAGAGCATGGGGACTAGGTAATAATAGAATTGTTATTATCTGAAGTATTAGGGCTTTTCCGGGCCCGTTTTTTCGACAGTCGACCCATACCGCTTTAAGTATAGATTTTAAAGCTATTTATGAGTTATAAACTAGGATTCAACGATATTCAAACAATATATATTAGATACCGTGTTATCGTAACGCAGACGTAAGGTCGGTCACATAAGACCTTTTTGTGGGAAATTTTCGTGTTAGCTCCGTACTTGTTGAGACCTCACCGCCGTAGACGAAGGTCCGTGAGATAAGGTGGGCTGTGCATTTCTAGGGTCGACCTTTTCGGACCCCATCCTTCCTTATGGGAAGGCAGCATCGCTGCAGATGCTGATTGTCTGAGGGAAAAATCTTACTGCCGTCACACCTCTGTACAGTCAGCAGTAGGACTTCGGACCTTGGGTTTGCTGCTGTTAGTTTTACCGTTTTTCAACCGACCTGCCTGGCATGGTAGGGCCTTGAGGAACGATTGTTCCAGCCAGTATAGCTCGATTGGTTCATCGCGATAGGCAAGCCCAACCACCACGTCAAGGTAGCAGCGACGGTCGGGTAAATAATTTAGGAACAATAATAAGTATTGAGATTATGGTTCTAAAAGACATTGTAATGGTATGTATGGAAGAATATTGGGGTTCAAGATGGAGGGGAAGATAAAGAGTAAATGCATTCGTGAATGATTTGAAACCATGTCACTCAAAGTTTCTAATCACTGATCACGGTTATCATGCTAACCCCAACCAGGTAGTTTGCTTTTACCAACATGACCTGATAACTTGATCTTGTGCTCTAGTTTGGTCGTCTCTGCGTTCTTTTCAATCTGTTTCTACATTCTACAGATTTATGATAAAGGATTATTTAGTTGTGCAACTACATGTAGCTACATGCACTGGGCCAAAATACGAGTTTTTACCATGCCGTATGACCTCAAACCTTATAACGTTGAACCAACTTTCAAAAGTCTAAGCTTTACTCAACCTAACAAGCTCAAGATATATAAAGATTTGCTGTTACAGCAACATGATATTTACTATGAGGTTCACAAATTCACATATTTTTGATTGTATCCAGTAGTGGTTTTATTATGGATTATGTTTTCTAAATTATTTGATCAGAGAAAATTTTCGATTGTTAAAACTAATAAATAGAATGCTAATCGATAGATGAATGCAATGATATAATGTAGTCGAGTGTTGACTACTCATGAAGTCATAATACTGACTTAAACCCTCAAATGATTAGAAATCAAAGACAAGACTACTGGCCAGGTAAATAGTTTTTTCATATAACAAAATAACATGTTCATATACAAAATATGGACACAAAAGAAGTAAGAAAAGGTATCATTGATTGGAGAAAATTAGCTTGTAGACCACTTATTCTCCAATCTTTTAAGACCTGTTCATTGGGCCTAGTTTTTCATTATTCAGTATAATATTTAAACCTGAAACAAAGTCAAAATAGTTCGTTTATAACTCTTGAGTTTAATTTTATCCTCTTCATTCATCGATATAGTTCGCCACTAAAATAAAATCATTCACACAAATAAAGATAGTGAGAAAGGAGTCCAATCAAAGTGAAAAAAAATAAGCGAACGAGAATAATACAGGTGGTTTTCTAGTGGGGGCTCCCCTGACCCAGAAGTCTCATCTACAAGGTAGCAGAGAGACTTAAACGAATGCCGTCCTATTATATCCAGTGAAAAAAGAGGCAATAGACTGCTCACTATCTCAGGATCCTGGAGTTCACGTGAACCATTTAGTTGGAATCAGGGTATCATAACTCCTAGATGAACCCTTGGTTTAAGGGGCGAATGTTCGTATTTTGTGCTTTCATTCCCGTAAACAATACCCCCACCATGCGAAGGTAGAGTCAGATTTCCTTGGCACTCTGTAAACGCTTAACCTTACGAGAGTATTCAAGGAGGAGAAGCGGGCTCCTCAACCCTTGACTATAACGGGGTGTTGAGCAGCGCTTGGTTAAGAAAAGAAACAGACGTTGATTCATCTTGTAGAATATGCACTTTTGAACTTCACAGATCTCACTGTCCAAAAAATGTTATCACATAGAGTCGTACTGTTTAAATTAGTTGTTTCCCTCTTACCCGTTAGTCAGACAGGCTCTTATGCGATAACAAGTTGTAAACAGGTTCATTTTTCCTCTTTGAACTTGAAATTATCTTGAGTTATAAGTACATTAGTAAAAATCAATCATATCGGTAAATTCTTAAATATAAATATTTCTATGTTATGTTACAGTTCTTATTTTTTTTTACCAAGCTTACATGGTTGCTCCTGTTACATATACTTAAGGTATTTAATTTTTGTAGGGCCATGTCAGCTGATAGTCTTAACTCAATAACTCGACCTATCCCCAAACCATCTGATTTTAAATTTGGTAAAGAGATTGGACAAGGTACCTTCTCAACTGTTTATGTTGTCCAAGAAATTTCAACAAGTTCAGAATTCGCTATGAAGGTTGTTGATAAACAACGTGTTTGGCGTTACAAGGCTGTGGACTCTGTACTGATGGAGAAAGAAGTACTTAAACGCACAAACCATGTTTTCATCATTCGTTTACATTGCACATTCCAAGACTCTACTAGGTTATTTTATCTTCTTGAATATGCAAGATGTGGAGAACTATTGTCATACCTTACTTATTTCACGTCCTTGAGTGTTCACTGTACTCGCTTCTATGCTGCAGAAATCTTTGCAGCCCTAGATTATTTACATTCAATGAGTATAGTTCATCGAGACCTAAAGCCGGAAAATGTTTTGTTAACAGATAAAATGCACATCAAGCTGGCCGATTTTGGATCAGCTGTTATACTAAACTCTCCAAATATTAAAGCACCTAGTTTTACTGGAACTCCAGAATACGTTAGTCCTGAAATGCTTTCTCGTATTTCTAGACAAGGTGATTGTACTCCAAATAGTGAAAGCTCACAGGATCTTACTTATCTAATGGACTTTTGGGCATTCGGGTGTATAATTTATCAGTTGATTTCTGGATCCTCTCCGTTCCGAAAAAGTGGTCCTGTCCATGAATATGAAACATTTCAGAAAATTTTAAGTTTATCTTATACATTTGCCCCAAATTTTGATCCGATTGCAAAAGATTTGGTGGAAAAACTACTTGTAATCAGTCCCAGTGAACGCCTTGGTAGTCCTTCCCATGGTGGGTCCATATCTGTTCGTCGACATATGTTTTTCTCTGAAATTAAATGGGACATCTTGCCGTACCAAGAACCTCCTTTACTAGTTCCAAATTTGGAACCAATTGCTCCTGAGGGTTGGGATAATCTGCCTGTTGGTTTTAAAGAAGCAGAGAAATATCACTTGTCGCGTGAACTCGGTTTGTCTCCCTCTCAAATAACTGAAGATGATCGTATTCGTTTATTAAATGCACAAGGAAAGCACAATCCTTTCAATCGTTTCGTTCGTGGTCGTTTAATTTTAAAACAAGGCATATTGTTTAAGCGTCGAGGATTGTTTGCAAGAAAGCGGATGTTTTTACTAACGGAAGGACCTCATCTCTTTTATATCGATGTTGAAAATATGACACTTAAAGGAGAAGTTGCATGGTCCGATTCGTTAACTGTTGAATTGAGAAGTAACAAATTATTTTTTATTCATGTTCCAAATAAAACATATTATTTAGAAGACCCTTCTGGTCACGCTGACGATTGGGTAAAACAAATAACATCCGTCAGAGCGCGATATTTTAAAGATACTCAAACTTTATGTTCAAATGATCCGAGCACCTCTATCGAATTAAGCATTTAATCTCGTAAAACTCTTCAGACAAACGACTTATTTTTTTGTTCAGTTAGGAATGTGAAAAAGAAAAATATTGTTTATGTTGTGTTAAGAATCATTTTAAAATGTGTACACTAAATTGTTATTTAGTGTTACCGAATTTAATCAGTTTTGTACAGTCAGAATTTATATATATTAGCTTACTGCTTTTTCATTTTTATCTCGTTCAAATTGCTTGTTGCTTGCCTGATATTTTATTATACGTGTGAATTTATTTTTTAAAATATTAAAGATTCCCATTGTGAACGCGTCGATTATATAAATAGTTGTCAATTTTTACGTTAACTAATTAAAGTTACGTATAGAGAAATTGTGTCATTTGGTAAACTTAATTTTCAAACTTAATGATATGAGAGTGCAATGTACTATACTGTTTTTATTATTAATCGTTAAATATTGATCTTGAAGAAAGAAAAAAGGCCGCTATTTCGAATCGGTGTGAATCTTTTAGATATAACTAGCGCCTCTGTTACAAAGATCGCCTCTAATCTGTTAGAGATTTTCATTAAATGGGACATAATACTATATCGTTCTTAGATGAACGAAATCACTTAACAATACTATTTTTTTCGAGAACTTGGTGCTGCCCACACAGCTACTCTAGACAGTTTGACCATGTATAAAAAGCAGATGTTTTACAACTAGCTAGCCTCTTAAAGAACGACACTTGTGTTTACGGATTCCCGATGTTACTGGAGATACATTGGGTTCTGTTCGAGATACGTGAGTGGTTTTCTTTCTCCGATTCCTCCCATTGTGGAAACATACCTCGTTGATTAATTCACCTGAGAATGTAATTTCAGAGCCTGACAAACAACCGCCTTACGACTTTTGTGAATAGTTTTGAATGTATTAGCTCCATACTTTTCAAACCTTACGGGCGATGATGGAAATCCATGTGCTGTTTTAATTGCTGAAGTTTCCTCTCTTCACTTCCATGGGAAAGCAACATCTTTGGAGATGGTGGCTCATTCATAAGAAATCTCACTATGTCATCGTACCCCTAATACATTCACCAGTACAAGTTACCGTCGAACTCTAAGTTTGGTGCTTTCAGTCTTAACAATCTTTAACCAATCTGCCTAATTTGATAAAACCTCAAGAAGTGAATATTCAACTCAGCATAGCTCGATTAAGTCATTATGATACCCAAAAGTCAGGGTGGTAGCTCCATAATCAGTTTTCCAGTAGTCATATCAGATTAAGCTTTGTTTTCGATGTGTGAGCAAGAATGATAATGATCGGTTTTTTGCTTAGTCAGACTAGTAGATAGTCTGACAGGTGCTCGATGAGTTATACGTTCTCCTTCCCTTATTACTATTGTGATTGTTGTTAGTTTTTGGTGTGGAAATATACTTATGTTCTAGTCAGGCTAGTCACATGTTCTTGATCTGAGTTGTGTTGAAGTCTTGTAGAATAGACATTGGGAGAGCATCTAGTGTCGATATACGTCTAAGGCAAGTTAGCGTCCCATTCATGTAGACGAGGAAAGCAGCCTTATAACACTTTCTCATACTAGCCATACATTACACTGATAAAAAATCTCCCTGAACAACCTAAGGCAGATAAACAGGCGTTCGTTAGTAGTATATCTCTTCAATTCGTCACACTTTAAAACAATACTGAGAAGAATCCAACACTCAAAGAGAGATACTAAAATAAAACAAAGCATGTTAGCATTTAATAATAGTCTAGTGAAATTTATGAATGTTTTTTTCATTGTACAAGGCTATCCCAATGTACCTTGGTTTCAGGTTATCCAGCACATGGTGTTCAACATTATGTTAATTCGCGTTAGGGAAAGTATCTCCACATAGAACAGACTAGCAGGATACATTGCTATCGATTACCATTATGTCATTTTTCGATCGACGATAATTTCGAGAAATTTTCACTGAGTCCATCATTAGCGATTGATAGTGTTTTATTGTATTTACCATTTAAAGTTACTATGTACCTATTGGTTGTATGTACTACTTAATGTTTCATCCTTAATGTAAACTCGATCACAAATCATTTGCATAGCCAAAATTCACTACATGTTTTGTACGTGAAACTGGCAAAATACAAAACTCTGGTATCAATCGCCACTAGTCTCAGCTTTTCAATTCAGTTTTAAATGAAACAAATTATCGAATTAGGCTGAAATTTAAACACTAAACAACTAATAATTTTTCCATACATAGATGAATGTAAATGGATTTCTTCAAACTTTATTCTTACAGAAATATATTCTAATAGGGCAAATCACATTCTTTCCAAACGATATTATACTAACCATACCATTGTAGTAGTGATGGTTTGTCTTTTCTTTTTTTCTCACATTCACTGCCAAAATCTGTGACTGTCACCATCCAGTTGACATCTCATAATGCCTATCTAGCACATTATTTAGGTACAGAATCATTTAGTTTTCAACCACTCTCTGGGTTTATAGTTTAAAACCAACTTTTTCAGTATAAGCAAGCTAAATTCAAGTAGGCAAGTACACACTTGAGAGGTGAATTAGATTGATTAACTCAGTATGTTATATAAGTACGATCAATGAAAGTCCATCAGTTTGCTTCATTTTAAAATTTTAGGATGCATAGCTTAATAAACTCGATGGTTGAGGTGTTTAAAAAAAATAATTCTTAACCGTACTCACTAAATTGATGTACTTCTCTGGAAACTGTCGTGACCTTTTTTTCATGAATATGATGCTAGGAGTTTTGCTCTTTATTTCTATTCTCTAATATCGACACCGAGTCGCAATTACTTAATGGTTAAAAGGTTGGATCCTTAGCCCCCACCTAATTCGGTTTGGGCAGCCGGGTATCATTACCCGTCACATTGCAAACGTGGTTCCTACCTAACTACCTGGGGAATGAATTTATGTAACTAAATTTAATATGAATACCCATTACCGGCTGAATATTGTCGTCTTTCTACTCGATTTAAAGCTGTATTTACCACGAAATTTATGGGTAAAAAATAGTTATGCAAGTGTGTAAACACTTCTACTAGATATCTCACTTCAGTTAAGGACTAAAAGCTTTCCATAATATTCAACGAGTTAATAATGCATCAGAATCACTAAATTGATATTTGATAATGAAATCCTATATATTATAAAGTCAGTTATCTAATGATGTAAGACTTTCGGATATGTTAGTAACAAATTCAACCTTGAATTCTACTATTTCGTTTACCTTGATGTACATGCTATTTCTTATGTTTACTTTTTTTCTAACACTTGGATGCTGGTTTTTCTTTTCGCTTTTTTCTTTTTTTCTCTCTCATCTTAAGTTCTAGTCGTTAATTTACCAACAACATCATCGTCAACATTATTGTTATTATTATCACCACCATTGTTATGCGTGATTAAAGCCAACCAACAACTTTAAATCTCCATTATGAAATTCACTTCATTTGCATATTTCAATAAGGTTTTCATGGGTCTTGATTTTGTCCCATTAGAAAATGAGCAACCAGTTCGTGGTGGATTCTACAGAAGTTCACAGATTTTTATCCCACTCGCTAAATTTATGAATGTTCCATTAGATCAAATTAACTATGTTGTTAGTGGAGTGATTAGCATCGGTCTGGGTCAATTAATGCGACGCCGGTTATCACCTCAGAAATGCTCTCCACGAATTCGTGCAGTTTTTGAAACCTTATTTGGTCTGTTGTTATTATCATTTTGCTTTGGTAATCAATTGCGTTTATTATTGATACAATCAAGTATTGCTTATCTATTCATGATGTGTCTACCTAGTAATCATTTTATGGCTGTATTAGTGACAATTTGGTCGTTATTTTATCTTACATTAGTACATATTTGTCGATTAAAATATGATTATGGGGGATATACACTGGATATTTCTGGACCAGTAATGGTACAAACTCAACGTTTATCTAGTTTAGCGTTTAATCTTGTCGATGGTGTATCAATGCGTAAAATGTCTGGTCCAAATCATTGTAAATCACAACAAACTAATTGTTCCACCAATGAAATAATCAATCGTGATGAAACTGTGGAACAATTCCCACCTTGTTGCAAACGGAACACATTCACTGAACTTGATACAACAACAATGATAATGACTTCGAAATTGAAGTCAAACACTGTTCATTATCATGCGCCAAATCATTGTAAATCAATGCAACGTGCTACTGCTATTGCGTCGGATAGTCATTCTGTCATGATGAATATCCCTACAAGTCATAAATTACATGCTGTTGAAAAAATTCCAGATCCGATCATATTTTTTGCATACATGCTTTATTTTCATGGTGTATTTGTTGGACCTTTCACGTTTTTTTTCTGAATATATGGATTATCTTAAAGGTTACACGAGCAGAGAATTACCTCCAATCAATATGCGTTATTTAATCACTTTATTTCTACGTACAGTAGCTTCGGGCCTATCAGCTGCCTATTTATGTCCTTATTTCCCGTTTGAATTTGTTTTAACTGAGCCGTTTACAGTAAGTTCTATTTATAATTGTCTAACTAAAATATTTGTTGAAATCACGAGCTGACCCAAGTTAAACAACCACTGAACACTTGGATGCACTGGAATGGTATTTTGTTCTAGTATGAAACTTGTTAGGGAGTTCCAAAATTTATCGAAAAGAAAACATTATCCAGTCAGCGTTGAATAAAGACTTTCCAGAAGCATCTGGAAATTGGGGAGTCACGTTTCCGATTGTATATTTACCTATACTGCTACTATATTTAGAATGGACCCAGAAACTTCCAGAAGCCTGATGTCATGTGTTACTCTATAAATACACGAACTAACCTTTTATTGAAGAGTCCTTTTAGCACCTTGTGGCTTTTTTCTTGTGTTCAAATTACCGTGCAGATTAATCTTGGGGTTATTAGAAGATACAACCTAGAGGTACTTGGGATCAGTGAAACACATTGAACACAAGTTGGACAACAACGACTAACTACAGGAGAGCTCCTGTTATACTCCGGCCATGAAGAAGAAAATGCACCACATACACAAGGAGTTGCATTGATGCTGTCCAAACAAGCGCAAAATGCGCTTATAGGATGGGAATCTCATGGACCAAGGATCATCAAAGCCTCGTTCAAAACAAAGAAAGAGGGCATTTCAATGAACATCATCCAATGCTATGCGCCTACCAACGACTACAATGAAGACGCTAAAGATCAATTCTACAATAGGCTGCAGTCAATCGTCGAGAAGTGCCCAACAAAGGACCTGACCATTCTGATGGGAGATTTCAACGCCAAGGTTGGAACGGACAACACTGGATATGAAGACATCATGGGACGACACGGACTGGGAGAAAGAAACGAAAATGGTGAGAGATTTGCAAATCTATGTGCCTTCAATAAACTGGTCATAGGCGGCACCATATTCCCACATAAACGCATACACAAAACCACATGGACTTCACCGGATCACACCACGCAAAACCAAATCGACCATATTTGCATCAACAAAACGTTCAGGAGGACTATAGAGGACGTGAGAACCAAGAGAGGAGCTGATATAGCATCAGATCATCACTTGCTGGTCGCCAAGATGAAATTGAAACTCAAGAAGCACTGGACAACGGGGCAGACAATATCACAAAAGTTCAATACGGCCTTTCTTCAGGATACTAACAAACTCAACAAATTCAAGATAGTCCTCAGCAACAAGTTCCAGGCCTTTCATGATCTACTCAATGGAGAAGGAACTACTGTGGAGAGCAACTGGAAGGGGATCAAAGAGGCAATCACTTCAACATGTCATGAGGTCCTGGGTCACAAGAAGCACCATCACAAGGAATGGATCACTGTTGATACACTGGATAAGATTCAAGAAAGGAGGAACAAGAAGGCAGCAATCAATACCAGCCGAACAAGAGCAGAAAAAGCCAAGGCACAAGCTGAATACACAGAAGTAAACAAACAAGTGAAGAGGAGCATCAGAACCGACAAACGTAAATATGTGGAAGATTTAGCAACGACGGTAGAAAAGGCTGCAAGAGAAGGAAACATGAGACAATTGTATGACACAACAAAGAAACTCTCTGGAAATCGCCGCAAACCAGAACGACCAGTGAAAAGCAAGGAAGGCGAGGTAATCACCAACATTGAAGAGCAACAAAACAGGTGGGTAGAACACTTCAAAGAACTCTTGAATCGACCAGCTCCACTGAACCCACCCAACATCGAAGCAGCACCCACGGACCTCCCAATCAATGTTGGCCCACCAACAATTGAAGAAATCAGCATGGCCATCAGACAAATCAAGAGTGGCAAAGCAGCAGGACCGGACAACATTCCAGCAGAGGCACTAAAAGCAGACGTAGCGGCAACTGCAAGGATACTCCACATTCTCTTCAATAAGATTTGGGATGAGGAACAAGTACCAAAAGACTGGAAAGAAGGACTTCTGATCAAAATACCGAAGAAAGGCGATCTCAGCAAGTGTGATAACTACAGGGGCATCACTCTTCTCTCAATACCGGGAAAAGTCTTCAACAGGGTATTGTTAAACAGGATGAAGGACTGCGTAGACGCCCAACTTCGTGACCAACAGGCAGGATTCCGTAAGGATAGATCGTGTACAGAAAATACAGGTGTTTATTAACAGTTGTCTACGCAAAACACTTCAGATCCGTTGGCCGGACACTTAGCAACAACGTACTGTGGGAGAGAACAAACCAGATCATAGCGGAGGAAGAAATCAGGAAGAAGCGCTGGAAGTGGATAGGACACACATTGAGGAAAGCACCCAACTGCGTCACAAGGCAAGCCCTCACATGGAATCCTCAAGGCCAAAGGAAAAGAGGAAGACCAAAGAACACATTACGCCGGGAAATGGAAATAGACATGAGAAAAATGAACAAGAATTGGATGGAACTAGAAAAGAAGGCCCAGAACAGAGTGGGTTGGAGAATGCTGGTCGGCGGCCTATGCTCCATTGGGAGTAACAGGCGTAAGTAATTAAGTAAGTAAGTAAGTATTAGAAGTGTCTAAAAAACCGGATCGAGCGTTCATTTCGCAAACGTATCACAACACTTGTGCTCATTCTCAACTCCGCAACTGGTAATCGAAGCCAGGCGATTCATTCTCGTTCGAGAACTCTCAACTTCTAGACTACTGACTCAGAATCCAATGGTGTACAACTTTAACTCCAATCAATCAACAATTTTACTAGGAAATATTCCATTAGCTTTAGCGAATAGCTTCTGCACAGCCGACGTCATCGAACTTCACTGGTCATGCATTCTCACGACAACCTTGGGAATCCCTCCTTGCGCTCAGTGGTCTAAATGTCAAGCGTTCACACACAAAACCAGAAGCCCTTCTTTCGAATCCCGGTTGCGGGGTCGTGCGTGCGTACTGCTAAGAAGTCCCATACTCGGACGAAACGCCAGTCCAGTGCTTTCAACTGTTGTCTAACTTAGATCGGTTCTTGATCTCAACAAAATTTCTACAATCTCCACAACCCTATACTGATAAAATATTTTTATCTAAGAGGAAAGTAATTGTTACTTTAAAAAAATTAAGTGATAGGGAATCAATAGTTAAAGCATTTGGCTAATGGTCGCATCAATAGAAACATAACCTTGAATACATCTCGTTTGAAGTACAAGAAACCCTCTTCGAAAGACAAAATCGTATCCAGTATTCATCTCAATTTCAGGATTAGTTTCAAAAATAATCAGTAGCTTGAGACGATAGTTAATTTCATTCACTTCGTCTCATGCAGTTGTGATATAAAGCAACCAAAAACACTTTCATGCCTTTTATGTTTACTGTATTCATAATACATGTATGCATCAAGTCGTTTAGTTAAAAACGACAGGTCATTCTCTCTCTTCGTCTGTCAACAAAACAGTAGAAGTAAATTTTCGTACTTTTAAACTGTCGGATAAAAAGTGAGTGTATTTTTTGTCGTAATAGTCTGAACGTTTATATCGGAAATTGCTTTCACTGAATCAAATAAATCTTGATTGTTTTGATCGATTCTGTCATCTCGAGTAGTGTTAGAGGTATCGTGGTCGGTTGTCCATACTGTGGAAGGACATTTGCTGTTGGGGAACCTAAAAATGAGCCATGATTAGGTGTGATTTTGACGATCTGTGAGCATAACCATAATACCCAAGGAATAACTGCTTACGACCAGTCATGTATGGCATTTTTGTGAATAGTTCTGTGTGTGTTACCTCTGTGCTTTTAAGACCTTGCTATCGATAACGGGAATCTATAGAGGCAATATTGAGGCGCACTCATTTTTAGAATCGACCTTCTGCATTCTTCCTTCCTTCATGGCAAGACAGCATCGATGCATATACTGAGGAAAACCTTAGTACGATTTCACCCTCACACACTGTGTGTATGATCAGTCTATAGTCAGCCATCGATAAAAGCCGTTTCCCCCGAGACTGTCGTTTCTAGTTATGAACTCAACAGCAAATGTCCTAAACCTCTTTTACTGTAGAATAAGTATTGTAGTTGTCTTTTTTCCAAAATAATAAGTCTTGTTGGTTTCTGTCAATAATTTTCCTATATACTACAGGATCACTGATTCTTAAACTATTCGGTTTGAATAAAACCATTAGTCTAGTGGTTGTTAAAGCGTCTAACTTTCGCGCACTAATTCTCTCGTTTGAACCCTGGTTCACTTATCCATCTGAGGAACTAGGCAGTATTACTAGGCTTCATACTTAATGTGTGGCGATCATATCCAAGGTCCTGATGAATGATTTAGTTTAATTTGGCGTTGAACCAATTATTCCGTAGATTATTCTTGTCTTCTCCATCTGTAGTGTTCAGTCTCTCTTTATTCATCTGAAAAAATGTAACTCAGTAGTAAGAAAGTAGTGAGGTTTATATACCGTTTGACTTCTTTGATCTATACACATTTTTTTGTTCATGTTGAGGATAAGTAGTACCATCTGATTATCAAAATACGAATTGTCGTTGAAAGTAACACTTTCGTTTTAATTCTATATTTATTACATTATTATTTAAGCGTATAAACATTATTATAAAGGGGTATCAATATATATATATATATATATATGCGCCACATAAATTATCGTTAAATTTGTGTGGCTGGGGTTACTACCCGAGTGGCCAAATTCTATCATCATAATCCACCACTTATAAAGGTTCTGGACACAATCCTAACTTGAGGTTATGATATTTATAACTTTGCACAGACGATAAAAAATCCCTTTACAATTTCATACTATTGTTCTATGCGAGGTTCTGATAGAGTTGTATGCTATATGTATGCACCCTCTCACGTTATCGTTCCTATTCCAAACATTTTGCATTATTGAAATGATCCTCTTGGACTTGTCATTCACAAATTTTCTGCTTAGCATATATTTGGCTTCATAATGAACTGGACTACATGTACAGGTTTATATCACAGACTTCATTGTCAATCATAGTAAGCTCCAATTAAATATTACACTCGCGTAAACGTCCTATTTGGTATTAAAGGTGTACAGCTATCTCGATGTTTTTACTACATTATACTAACGTCCAATGCACTTTAATCATTCCTTTTGAGTTACTATTATGTTTTACAATTGTACTGGTGTCAAAGAAAAAATAAGAGTTTTGAAAGCATTGTTAGTATATGTGATCACACACTCACAAATTTTATGTATTTGTTTGTTTCACTTTAGAATTACTCCATGTTGCATCGTATTTTATACGTAACCATTTCTCTATTCTTAATTCGACAAAAATACTACTTTGCATGGGGTTTAGCTGAAGTCAACGGAGTGGCTGTTGGTGCTGGTTATACTGGCCAGTGTCCACGCACAGGTGCTACATTAAATCATAACATTCGCAATTTTGATTTCATTAAAGTTGAAACTGGTATTAGTTTAAAACATGTTATCGATGCATGGAATATCTCAACTACACGATGGTTACGTGAAACATTTTATGATCGTCTTCCATCAGCTTATCGTACAATCCTTGTCTTTATTATAAGCGCTTTTTGGCATGGCTTTTATCCTGGCTATTATATTATGTTTTTATCGTTTGCCTTATTCACTATGACCTCACGTCTATGGCATCGTCATTGTCGTCAATATTTCCGTAGAAATTATCTCTCCAGTCAACTCTATAGTGTATTTACCATGATCATTACTAATTTAATTGTAAATTATGGTCAAGCAGCATTTCACCTATTAGATTTCTATTCATCATTGAAATTTTTACGTACATTCTATTTTATACCGCATCTAATTGCTGTCGGTATTTTGTTTATCTATTTTTCCAAAGTATGCATTATAAAATTATCACTTAAGTATCAGCTTGATATTAAGAGGTTTGATTATGATAAAAGTAATGATGATAAAAGTCGAAAATTATCAATTTCTTCAAATCATGATCGCGGTATTGGTGGCCATTAATTACTAAAGGACAACGATCACCACTACCTTCATTACCCCGTTCGCCTCCTGCTTATGTTCATCAGTTAACACTTGCTTGCTTATAATGTCTCCCCTCTCGCTCTTGTTTCTTTCATCCATCCATTTATCTATTTATCCTATAAAAATATACTCAACTATATTCCTTGTTGCGTTTATCCCCTTCCACCCTCTCCTCCCCACTGTCGAAATCATGTCCCATTGCATGTACTGCTACTTCCTCCATTTCCTTAATATTATTATTCTCGTAATCACTCAGTCTTCTTTTGATTGTTTATGTGGGTTACATTTTATGGGGTTGTTTTTTAATTTAAAAAAATGGGGCGAGAAAAATTATTCTATTTCAGTGATGCGTTTGACTATGATATATATATATATATATATATATATATATATATATATATATATATATATATATATATATAATATTTATTTTGAAGTCTTCTTGATTACCTAATAATTTAACTTACCAAGTGTTCACTTGTAATAATAATAATAAAATTACTAGTAAGTGATGAGTTCGCATAACAGTGAGTTGAACGTCTATTTGTTCGTGTGTGTTGTGCACGTTTTCTCAAATATTAAATCATATGAAGAATGTGTTGTGATTTGGTATTGGTTTTATGTGGACATGCATACATATATGCATAATGGATACAAGGGATCGACTAACCTAGGGGAGTCGGAAAACCGTGATTCTAAACCAATGGTGATCATGGGCTCCAAAATCCTTAGGGAAAAAATAGTGTATGAACCTACTCTTTGTGAACGGCATTATTCCAGTACTTTGTGGATTAGACCTCTTAGTCAAAGACTCAGGGAGTGGTCCCCTAAGATGACCAGTACTTCGATTTTGATAACCGGGCAATACCCCAATCCACGCACGAATTTACTGAGGATTTGTGTGGCACATATATATTTTGATGCCCCTTTGTACCAATGTTTATATATATTAACATCAAAATAATCGATATGCACCTAGTTGGTCATAAGCAACATGAGACCTCGAACATACCGTCTTGTATCAGTTCAGTTCGTCACCGTGTATCAGTTCAGTTAATTAGAATTTACTTACGCCTGTTACCCCTCGTCTAACATAGACCGCCAACCAATTCTCTGCTGGCCTCTCCTTCCCACTTGTTCTCAGTCGCTATTCATTCTTCTGATGTGTGCCACCGACTTCCAGCTGAAGTTGTTCTTTGGTTTATCTCTTTTCATTTTTCTTTCAGGTTCCCAAGTTGGGCCTTGACTCGTGGTGCAGTTTGATGATTTCCACCATCTATATCCCATTTGCCTCCAGCATACTTTCCTAATTTTCTTCTCGGATGGAAGCTGCCACAGTCGGTTGCTACTGATGGTATCTGGTAAACGGATACTTAGTATCTTGCGTAGACAACTGTTTATGATTAACTCAGTCAATCAGTAACAACGTAGAACTTCGTACGTACGTACATCAGTTCGAGTTGCCATACCACATTAGCATAGGAATACAATTGTCGATTCAAATCCCATAGTGGTATATGTAGTAAAAGTGTAGGCAGTAATCGTAAAGATTAGGTTTTGGGATGTTATTCAAGGAATATCGTCCAGTGAAATAAATTTAGAAAGAGAAAAAAGAGACATGAAGAATTTGGGAGAACACAAAGAGTGGATTCACCTGCGCCATTGCAAACGATTTTGAGCCATGTCATTCAAAGTCTCTAATCATCGGTTGCTATTGTCTCGCGGATCCCAACCAGGGTAGTCTACACCTACCAACATGGCTCAGTCCACTTGTCAGTGACTTTATGGATTTGTGCCATGTTTTGGTCTAGCCGCCCCTAGTTTTCTTCCAATCTACTCCTACACCATAAAACATCTCACGTCGGGGCAGTCGGTGGTTGGGCATACTTAACACATATCCTAGCCATCTCAACTGATGAAGTTTCACTACGTCATCAATTGATTTCCCATCCTTACCTAGTACCCGTTTCCTAACAACTGAGTTACTTACTCGGTGGTCCCAGAGTATACGAGCAATGTTTCGAAGACACACATGATGAAATACTAGTAACCTACTCTTACAAGTCGTGTTTCACTGCCATAAACTAGGACAGAACGAACTGCTGAGCAGTAAACACGTCCTTTGGTTGGTAGACGGATGTCTCGTCTACGCCATAAATGGCGCAAGTCGGCAAAAGCTAGTCGAGCCTTCTGTATCCGTGCTGAGATTTCGTCACACATCAGACCACAAAAGCTGATGAGACTCCCAAAATAAGTGAAGTGGTCGACACTTTCAACTACTTCACTCCCTATCATTAATTCGGGTGTCGCTACAACCCAATCCTGAAGCAACATTTTGCATTTCGAGGGCGAGAATCGCATTTCCAACATGCCTGCATTGTTGCTTAGAGTGGTCAGAAGACTCTGCATTTTGTCAGCGCCTTCACCAAATAAAACTACGTCATCAGCATATTCCAAGTCAACAAGTGAATCTCCCGGTAGAAGTTCAACCCCTGAAAATTTAGATGAGGAAAGTGTCATCCCTAAAGGTACGTCAATGACAAAGTTGAACAAAAATGGAGAGAGTGGACAGCCATGACGAACACCACTTGAGGTAATCAATTCTGATGACAGTTTGCCATAAGCTCTCACTCGATCAGTTGTGTTCGAGAAGAGAACCTGTATAAGGTTAATGTACTTCTTTGGTACTCCTTTCGGTGACAAACACTGCCATAGAACCTTACGATCATCAGAGTCAAATGCCGCCCTAAGGTCGAGAAGTACTATGATTGTGGGGCGCCTGAACGTATGTCTGTGTTCTAGAACCTGACGTAGTGTGAATATCTGATCTATACAACCACGTCCAGGTCGGAAACCAGCCTGTTTTTCCCTAGTCTGTTCTTCACGAGCCTTAGTTAGGCGTCGAAGAATTATTGAAGCTAATATTTTAGACACTATATTTGTCAAACTGATTCCTGTGTGACTGTCACAAGAGGACTTTCGTCCTTTCTTATAGACTGGCACAATCAGTGATTGAGACCAGTCAGATGGGATTACGTCCAGTTCCCAAATTCTACCTATGACCTCAGTCAATCTCGCTGCTAATACTGAACCACCATCCTTAAAACTCTCAGCAGTAAACCTGTCAGGGCCCACTGCTCTCCCACGCTTCAGATTTCCTATAAATTTCTCAACTTAGTAAAGGGTTGGAGGACTTACATCAACTTGCCATTCAGGTCGACTGGAAATCGTGGGAAACCGAAATGTGGCTGAAGGCCAGTTGAACTGATCTCTGAAGTGTTCTGTCCATCGATCCAATCTCCTGGATTGAGAATGTATAATATGTCCATCTTTTTCTTAGATAGTTTCACTAACAGTCGGGTTCCTAATACCGGTTTCCTTAACAAGTCTGAACAGTTGTCTGATGTTACCTATTGCCGCTGCCTTTTCCATCTGTCTTGCTTTCGCTACCCCCCACTGTTCACGATCATTGCGTAGGCTTCTTGTCAGCTTGCGCTTGAGCTGACTCCGCCCTTCGTTATGTTCAGAGCCAGATGGAATGAGTTTGTGAGCATCTATCGGTGTGGTAGATGCTGCTGAGATCCAGTGTTTCTCCCTAACTTTATGGTTTACCGTACTTGCAGATATCACTGCTGTTTTCACATCTTTTCGGATATCATCTCAGACTGCCTGAGGAAGGACATCACTCACATGGTTGCCTAACTGTTTTTCTAGTTGTTCCTGAAATACATTGTTAGGTTGGCTATCATTAAGTAGGGCTGTTATATCCTAGCGAAGATTACATTACGAGTAACTTCTGAGACATATTAATTGACTAATATTATCTATATATTCTTATGGTATAACTATCCAATAGTTAGATTGTGTATATCTATATTCCCCTTATTATAAGCTTCATTTTGACACATAATTTATTATTATATGATTTACTGTTCTTAAATTATACTCAGTTTATTAATTACAGTCTCCAACATTCACAGACACATTTCGGCTTTATTGTGTATGAATATTATTTATTATTTTATGATGCATTGCGGTCTGTTTGATTCATATATAAACCCAGTATGTTTGAAATATATGATTCGCATAGTGGAGGCTGTTGTTGGCATTCCGAACTCAGCTGAACGTGCTAGGCGAGCAAATAACCAATAGGACGCTAGGCTGATCAGACCGGTCGGACGTCATTGGTTTAGTACAGTATAAGAGCGAATAAGTCGTATTTTGATTGGTGAATAGATTACGTGATAACTGGCGGGCCATAAAGACACAACAAGGGCCCTAAGAGGTTTCATTGCAGCGTCTTTTCTACGTCCAGTGGGACGCAGACAAATAAGCGATCGCATTAGAGAGTGATTTGAATCTGAGCATGTGCTCCAGAACGAGACCCTCCATCGGTGGCTGATAGCGATGTGATCTATTTGTCTCCAACTTTGGGACGAATTCGGGGGTGGCCATATCAATAGGTGTCTTTCTTTGTGCTTAAAGTTAGGATTTGATAGAAACAGGCGGTTATCTGAGCATAGCTGCAACAGACAGTCGTCATTATCTGTTCATTGAGCCGCGACACCATAAGACCCACCCATGTGTCTTTCCCTTTCGCTTAGTTTACCTACTTGAGCATTAAAGTCACCATCCAATATTACTACATCAGAGAACCTAGATTTTCGGAGAAGGTCGGAAAGCTTTCTGTAAAACTCATCTTTTACATCGTCTGAGCTGCAGTCAGTGAGAGAATAGGCAGAGGCAACGACGAGTGTCCCTATCTTTCCGAGTCCTTACTGTTCCGTTTAGTCGGACAGCGCACAAACGACTGTCTACTGGGATCCAGTCTAAGAGAGCTAGTTCTGCCCTAGGACGCAATGCTATACCTACGCCAGCGAGGCCACGGGAAGCAGCATCAGGGCTTCCAGATACACGAGGCGTGAATCGAGTTGGCTCGTTACTTTGACATGATGAGGTCAAATGAGTGACACTACTCGGATCCTGTATGCGCGTTTCGGAGACGCAGCACACATCGATGGCGCGAGATTCTAAAGTCCTAGCTAAGGAAGCCTGTTGTCCTGTTTGGGA